CCAGCATTGTTGATGCACAGAGAACATTTCTGGATGTTTCATGCATATAATTACTGTGACTATGGCATGATAACATAATTACATTACTTAAACTATCAATCGTTATATCATTGTAAAATCTGAAGGGAAAAATTAAACAATTCTCAAAATGTTTAACAATCTGAAAAGGAAAAGTTCGGCAAATATTCAAAGACTTTTGTAAAAACCTGGAAAGGAAGGATTAAACATTCTTAAAACTTTAATTCATATATTTGTGAATGCTACAACTGATCTGTACCAAATTAACTCAATCATGCTTATTAGCCATACTTACCTGAACATCTACTTATGGTACTTGGAAAGGGTTCTTCTGTGTTTATCTAATGTTGAATATAGAATATAAATTTCTTTAAATGATACTTCTCTAATTAGAGGATCCAATATGCTACATAATTGTTGTATGAATTATTATAAATATTTAATAAATTAATCCAGTACTTGAAACATCATTTTAGGTCTGTCTGTGCATGGATAATACATTAAAGCAGCGGTTTTCAAAGTGTGAGGCGCGTCTCCCTTGGGGGGCGCCAGAGAGCTTCAGGGGAGGCGCAGCGTTTGATTGATTGATTGAAAAGTTTATTAACAGCTTGTATATTGGGTACAGTACAGTACAGCTCAAAACATACAATTGTTAAGGGGATGCAGACCAGAGAAAGACTTTCGTCTTGTTTACATCAGGGTCCCCCATTTCCAATTCATCATATCATTTAAGACATATAAGACATATTTGACATACAGATGGCTTATTTACAATTTACATACAGGTGGTTTTTTACATACAGATGGCTTATTTACAATTTTCATTTTAGATTTCGTTCTAATACATCCTAACCGGACATTTAAGACATACCAAGTCTACAGATATACAGTTAGTAACAGAGTCTAAAATGCGAGTATATACATAGATGGGGGGGGGAAGCTGTCCATTGTACGACAGGTTGAGATTTGTACCATTACCGGGGCCAGTTTTGCAATGCTTTCCCCCGAAGGTGCTCTTTAAGAGAGGTTTTGAAGGTAAGTATAGTTTTACTTTCCTTTACAGTTGTGGGAAGAGCGTTCCACCTTGATGTGGCATAATTGCGAAACGTGTATTCCCCTTTTTTTGTGCCAAATCTGGGTTTTACATGATTTGTGGAGCTCCCTCTGGTGTTATGATCATGGTATTCCTTGACCTTTGGGAAGAATTTTGACATGTACATGGGTACCATAGAGGTGTAGTGGATCTTGTAGACCAGGCCCATTGCAAGTAGCTGTACTCTGTCGTCTACTCTAAGCCATCCTAGGTTGTCAAAGTGGGCAGAGGTGAGGTGGGTTCTAGATGAAAGGTCAAGCAGTAGTCTGACCAGTTTATTTTGCGATGTTTGAAGTTTTATTTTTAGCGCCTTGGAGGTGCTATGGTACCATGACGTGCAAGCATAGTCATAGTACCCTTGAATGAGTGCTCCTGCCAGAGTTTTCAGGGTGTTTTTGTTTACCAGAGAGGAGATCCGGTATAGGAATCTAGTTCTTTGATTGACTTTTTTTATTACATTGGATGCCATTTTGTCACAGGAGAGGTTTGCCTCAAGAATAGATCCTAGGTATGTAATTTCCTTCTTACTTGTGACAATAATGTCACCCACTGCAACTGAGAAGTCGTCGGATTTGCTGAGATTATGTTTCGAACCGAAGAGAATGGACTCTGTTTTACCCAGGTGTAATGATAATTTATTATCGGCGAGCCAGGTGCAGATTCTGCCGAGCTCGGAGCTGAGGGTTTTTTCAACCTGCAATCTGCTCCTGTCAGAGACCAGCAGGGCTGAGTCGTCCGCGAACAGGAACAAGTTGCAGTCACATGCTGATGACATGTCATTTGCATAAATTAGGAACAGTAACGGACCTAATATGCTTCCTTGTGGAACACCACAGCTCACTGGGAGGGGGGGGGACAGAGTACCGTTTACCTCCACCATCTGTTCTCTCCCCTCCAGGTAGGATTGCATCCAGCGTGAGAAAAGAATAACGAGAAACAGTGAAATCTAGCTGGTTAATTTCAGCTAACTTGCAGTGTGCGGAAAAAGCACACGTCCGATCGTCCGGGACGTGTTATTTATAATATCGGACAAATACATCTTTCCATTGACGTGTCCGACGGACAAGTCGCGTTTTTCGCCCATAAATGTTAGTTTCGGTTCTGCTTGTCGATTCCTAAGGAAATGCATCTCGCCGCTTTCTGTACTGTTAGACGGGGCGGGCGGGACGTGTAGCCCAGTGGCAGGGACGGGAAGCAAAACTCGGTTCCGAGTAAGAACAAATAACAATTGTCCGGTACCGGGAATAATAAGTGTTGTGAGGACAGGAGGCGGAGGCCGAGCCCCGCAGCTCTCTCTCCCTATGCTCCGTATCAGCTGATCGCTGCATTATGTTCTTTCTTTAACACGTAATGAAGGTTATTAAGCGTTTTAGCTCCTGTGTTGTTAATATTGACCGCTTTTTCCTTTATGAAGTAAAGCAGCATCCCTGTCTGTGTCCTCGCGCTGTCCCCGGACCCCCAGACTCGGAGGAGCACAGGGATGTCACTGTCAGTATTGTTTATGAAGCAGGGTAGAAAGTAAATTATTGAAATGAAAATACTATTTATTTACTTTTACAAACAGTGAGTAGCTGGGCAGCTGCAGCATGTGTGTTGCAGGACATGTGTTGGACAGACAGAGTGTGTGGTTGGCCGATCATGGGTGACAAGGGGAGCACGTCTGTAACCCGACACCGTTGCAATTAATCGACATCTGACCAATCACGGCTTTGATACGGCCACTAGTGCAGGTGAAGAGATGTTGGCGAAAAGACAGTTTCAGTCCGGCGCAAGCATGAGGGAAAACATGAAGAAACTAGAGCATCACTCGAAGGTGGGTTATTGTATGAGTCAAATGTACAACTTGCGAATGTTGTATAAGTCAAATGTCAAACTTTTGCCAATTGCCATATTAAAACATCAGCTGCAATTCACGACATGAAGAAGGCAGTCTCTGCATAGCATATAGGCTAATGGAGATGCAGTTATTTCCAGCATTCTTTATTTACCATTCATTCAAGTATGTTATGCCTTGTATCTGCTAATGTACAGGAGGAAGAGTGATAAACTGTCTGTCTAGTTGGCTTACATAACAGTTCAAGTTTACAGCCTAAAAAACATGGAGCATTTTTTCCCCTTTTGTCAATTTGCACATTTCATGGTGATGCTCAGCCTCTCCCCTTAACTCCTAACAGTCATCATCATGTCAACCACAACACAGAGAAATACTGATAGAAACGTGTGTGTAGTTGTTGATGCATTGCTGACAGAGGGAACTACAGTTGAATACAGATTTAAGAAATATCAGTTTTTGAGCATGTAATAAGCATGTTTTGTCTTGACTATATTAAAACGATATTATAATAATATAGTATTTATATTATTGAATTGATTATGATTATTAGTAGAAGTAGTTTATTTGCATTCATTATATTGTAATCTTTTTGAGGCTAGTATTTGGCAGGAAATGCAGACGTATTCACCTGTAAATGCATACTGAACCACATACATGCACATTTACCATTTACCTCACTGTATACAAAATTAACTGTGTTGATAATAATAAACAGGAATTATATTTGCAAAGCAGGCCTACCTTGTTTCCAAACATTTTTTTTCCACCCCTGTCGGTTGGGGGGGGGGGGGGTGCGTGCTCAAAAAAGAGAAAGGTAGACAGCGAAAACAGAGCATTTAATGACATGTTCTCTTACTGGACCTCTTTGAAATGCAATTGAATGCCCCTGCATTATAGCAACAACAATAATAATAACAGCAATAATAATTGGGAGGGGGGGCGCGGCTGTTCTTATGTTCTCTGAGGGGAGGCTCACCTTCCCACACTTTGAAAACCCCTGCATTAAAGAGTAGTGTTGTTAAGCCTGAGTGCTGGATGATTAAGGATATTAACGTTATCTGTGATAATAGAAGAAATATCTTATTATTTAATACCTTATAATCTGAAAATATTTATTTATTTATTTTGTTTAGTGCGAAAGTGTAATCTGATCTGACAAAAATATATTAATCACCACTATTTAACACATGGCTGGTCATTGGAAATATAAAAAACAATCATTAATTGTACATCTTTAAACATCTGGTCATTCAATTCAAAGTTCATCTTTGTACGAGAGCTGGAAGAACATGTCCGTCAGTCTTCCTGACTCGTTCTCCTCCTCCCTTTATGACACCGAGTGTCTGGTGTGTAAAGGCATCCTGATACCGAGTCCTCCAACACATACGACCAAATAGATCGATTGTTCAAGCCCTTATTGCGCTTAATACGACCTATAATCACATTTTAAAGTGTTCGACCTCTAGTGCTCCCGTTGATTGCAAACGTTACATAGGGTCGTTTATTCACAAATAACCCTCTCTGGAAAATCCTAAATTGTAGGATAGTTTGGCCATTAAAATGCTTTTTGATCAGATTTCTAGCGAGAAGTGTATATTGTACTTTTAGAATCCACGTCCAGTGGATATGTAGGATCTATAGTGTGATAGATATTACGAAGATGATTTGAGGTCTCGCCAGGAGAACGTGTATATGGGGCAGCTTCCATGTAAAGTTAGCGTCAATCCTCACGGGGTGAAAACAGTATTTCTGAACTGGACCCGTCCGAGTCCAGTTTTGGATAGTCTGCCGTGGTTCCATTCCATTTCAAAGAGCTGTTGACGCTCGGCGTAACCTTGTCACACTGCCACTCCAACATCCAATCACTGGGCTTGAGGACTAATCACAGGGTTTGTAAAGCAAGGCGGTTGTTGTAGTCCCAAACGATAGCTGGGGATTCTGGGTAGTGTAGTGTCTAAACTCCGAAAAAACTATTTGTTTCTCCGAATCGAAGGTTAAAAACACAAAAGCATTGTACACAATTTAAACCAATCAATATTGTGTAATTAACAAGGATAAACTGATGTTTTCTTTAAATACAAATGTAAAATATTTCTTCATATCAAAGCACAATCCAGCTTTTGAAAAAGAAATCGAACAACATAAGCAATTTATGGAGTTACATTAAAAGTCCAATTTCAAAATCAAAGACTTGTGACGTCTTCTTGCGTTATTCCAGCATCCTTCACCATGGCATAGAAATTGCCCCGTTTTTCAAGCAGGTTGCTCGGAGAATCAAATTCCACAATCTTTCCGGCATCAAGCACCATTACCCTGTGGGAGGGGAACACAGGCAGTATTGGAAAAGAGTTGTGTACATGTCAGGCAGAGGATGATTTGAAATAACTTCCAGCTCAAATGTGAAGGAAATGCAATGAGGATAGGAGAGAGGGTTCGCTTTTTATTTCAGATAATGATTATAGTCAGTAGAATACAGCAAAGTACAGCCAATAAAGTAAATCAGTCTGTTGCATTTTCAGACCAAACCATGCATGATCTGATTTTCATGAATTCTTTATTGCAAAAAATATATTTTCTAAATGTGTTGTAGACTATCGACTCTTGGTTTGCAGATACCCTATTTGTCAGCTCAAATTTTAAATTGCTTACCCCAGCGGTTAACTTGCTAGCTAGTGGATAATGTCTGCTTATAATAATGTTAAACGTTTTTTCATTGCATAAGATATGGTAAATACACACTGCCCAAAAACTCCAAGTACTTCCATGTTATGCACGTTATTTTGTCCAAATTCAAGTCAGTTCGGTAGCACTTTACAATAAGACGACCCTTATAAAAGGGATTACGAATAGTTTATAATTCATTTATTAATTAGGTTGTGAACACTTTATAAATCATTAATAAGCTTTTATAAGACATGAGATAAACAGGGCAACTGTGACCGGTTGCTTGCCAAATAGTGAGCCCACATTTATCTGTACTGCTAAGCCTTATATGGGCTACCGAGCTTACTTCGTCTTCTTCATCAGCCAGCATCCTTGGTGTCTGTTGTTCACCGAGTTGATTCTCGCTAAGTAGCCAATATAAGGCTTAGTCATCTTGCTAAATAGTGAGCCTGTGTTGATGTATGCAAACTATGTTAGAACTGGTTTATAAATGGTTCTTAATGATTAACAAAGTGTTTACAACCTAATTCATAACGTAATTATAAACCCTTTATGAATCCTTTATAAGGGTAGTCTTATTGTAAAGTGGTACCGTCAGTTCCAACCTCTTTTGCAGACTGTTCAATAAAGAAGCCTTTTTTCACTGCATTTAATATTGTTACATACAGTAATACGATATCCTGATTTCCACAATCTATCGAATGCAATGAATAATTCCTATTCTTACACAACCTCTCACCCCTAAGCCGAGTCTATGGTGCTGAAGGCTCTCTGGGTGAAGCCACTGGGGACTTTGAAGTCTTGCAGAACTTTCATGTCTGCTTATCTGTTTATACAGATAAGCAAGTTCGAGTCTCACTGCAGTCAGCATGTTGTTGTGTCCCTGAGACACTTCACCCCAAATTGCTCCTGTGGGGATTGTCCACAGTATTGAGTATGTAAGTCGCTTTGGATAAAAGCGACTAACAAATGACATGTAATGTAATGTGCACAGAGGAGACTTGGGTTGCGGTCGAATAGTCCAGGGGTTCCCAACCTTTATTGTGCCAAGGACCGGTAGATACATTAAAAAAAAATCGCGGAACTGATTTTAATATTTACTCACCACCAGCAGGTAGCAACAGAGGCTAATTGTATGTAACAGCCTGAACAAATACTAGAACAATATGCATCCAAAACATATTAACAAAGTTTAAAAAAGAACCGGTGTTGTTTTTTGGTTTTTCGGAAAACCAAAAAACCGACGTTATTCAGTTTTTAAACCAAAACGGGAAAACAGATAAATCAACGTTTTGGTTTTGTTTGTATGATTTACGGATAATCCAGTGAATGCTGGGAAAACGAGGAGAAGGCGCATTATGAAGGAGATGTCCGGTCGCCTGTGTGTGTGTGTGTGTGTGTGTGTGTGTGTGTGTGTGTGTGTGTGTGGCATTTGTTTTCAGAAGATATTATGATAGTGTCGTTCGTTCCGGTGCACTCCCGACAGTTTAGCACTACATCGAGATTAAGATTAAACTAATTTATTTTGCGAACAGCCGCATATATGCCGGTGTCGGACAGACACAAACACACCGAACACACAGAGCTGAGCTGAGCAGAGCACATACACACACATCATGCGCCTTGGTGACTCTCCTTCATAAAACTAATAAAAGGGGGAGTAATCGGGCAGTTCGATGTGTGTAGATGTGTGTGTGGTTAACACGTAGCAGCCTGCAGTCACTCTTAAACTGTTCTGATGAAGTTAAACACAGCGAAGGCGGTGCGTAAAAAGGCACAGCTCTTTACCGAGTATACGTCCCGCTGCCTCCTGATGCTGCAGCCAAATCATGTCATGAAGGAGGTTTTCCTTCTATAAAGCAGCTGCGGGCAGCAGATACCGTGAGAGTCCCGGTCATTAATTCATAGATCAAGGCAGACTGGTTTACTCTCCTGTTTTGCCAATCCGGTGCTTAAACAAATAGCTCTACACCCCTGGCCGACATGTCCTTAAAATGAAGTCCGAGTTTGAAATATATCTCAAATAATGTATGCACCACCATTTCCCCACATAAACATAACAGTCTGCAATCAAACGGTTGTCTCCTGTGCGCTCCTCTTCCTACTTGGCGCACCGGTAACATGCTCGTGCGCACAAGAGGCTGAGACCTAGGCTGAGCCGCCGAATCCCTCGGAACATCATAAAAGCCATTTTCAACGGTTTTCTGGTGAAAGATTAACTAGCTACTGGATGAAATAATATGACTGGTGGCATAGGTGCGAAAATTAAACACTTTTTGAAACAAATATTATGATAAAATATTTTTATATATTTATAATTCTGCAAATATTACGATAAACTCACAGCTATTTCGCGGCCCGGCAGTAACACCTCCGCGGCCCGGTACCGGTCCGCGGACCGGGGGTTGGGAACCCCTGGAATAGTCCATTTAGCTTAGGAACCTTCCTAACGGAGTGAAATGACCCGGAGGTCCCTCAGTGGCAGCCATGATAAGAGCTGTTCGAATTCTCTAGATGAAAGGAAAGGAGGTTTCAAACTTCCTTTATAACCTCCTTTAGCTTAGGAACCACTGGACCTCCCTAACCGAAAGGAGAGGAGAAAATGCTGCCCCACAATGCCTTGCGGCCGCGGCATTTGTCGTCACACAACAGTCGGCCGTTCACGGAAACAACCGATTATGAGCGAGAAATGATATCATGAAAGTTACGGTGCTTATTAAGCATTTTAAAACGTATGTGGTAAGTTGCCAAAGTGCTTTGTTTTGAACGTTCATCAGTATTATAATCAAAAAGAGAAATATGAACGTTAGTTTTTACTGAAATGATCAAATAAAGTCAACATTTCACAGTCTTTACTGAGCTGTGTGGGGTTTGTTCAACTTTTAAAAGATGTTTGAATGGTGATATACACAGTGATAGATGTTAAGGACTAACGTTTATAATAAATACATTTGTATTGATTTTAAGATCTTTTCATACAATCATACGTATTGGGATCATTTGTATTAATGTGGACCGGAGGGAGAGGGGGACGAGCATAAGTTTCACTTTCCTTTTTTATTTCAATTCCAACTTTGGTCATGAAGAATATGTTTCTCTGTTGTCCCCGTTCATAAAGCATAACAGCATCAGAGCACGGTGCAGAGTCTCTAGATGAGTTTACAGTAGTCCCTCGTTCTTATTAAACATCCATGTTGTAGTCCGCTGGATAGAAAACTGTAGTTTCCATAGTTTCCCCACAGCAGCAGGCGCACATTTATGACCTCCGCTGGCGCATCATAAACACGTCGGATAGTGGAAGTGCAGTCGATTCTCTAAAGTACCGCAGTCTCTTCTCCTAAGTCCTTTTGAATTCTCCTATCCACTATCCCTTAACCCCGTGACCTTTCACTCAGAGGAGAGGGATAGACGATAGGGTTAGAATTTAGGAGCTGATTTTTGGGCTATTCGACCACAACCCCTGGATCTCACAGCTGTGGCCATCAGGCTTTTTTAACAATAGAGAATGCATCCTCAACTGCTGGAACACCTGGCCAATGAAATACTGAATATGACTAGGCCATTGTTTGGGACTAAAATACAAATTGAAAAATAAATCGAGACAAAACATCCAAATCATATAACCAACTAAGAGAAAGTGTTTGGATTGCTTTATCAAACACACTAATGAATGCTATATGTTTTTATTGTAATTTTTGTTGTGTTTTTTTTGCAAGAGCACTTAAGATAATGTGGAGGAAAAGAGAGAGTTTCCATTAACCGGAGCGATATGAGTGCAGACACACATCATCCGGACCCTAGGAGGCACTCACCTGGAGCTGTCCATGATGCTCTGCAGGTGGTGGGCGATGGTGAGGACAGTGCAGTGTGAAAACTCCTGACGGCTGGTAGTCTGAATCAGGTCGTCTGTCTCCAGGTCAACAGCTGCCGTGGCTCTGTCCAGGATCAAGATACGGGACTTCCTTAGCAGGGCCCGAGCCAGGCAAAGCAGCTGCCTCTGGCCCACACTGACAAGAGAGGGACATGATCAAATGTTTTCAACCAGAAAGGAAAATACACCACAAAAAGACACTTGTTTTTATATGAAATTATAAGTGATTCCTTTAGGGGCGATGGGTAATTACAGAAGCGATGAATATTTAATACAGTAGATCATTTGAAAGAATAAAAGTGTATTAAATATATTGTCTGCATCTTATTAAGCATGAATTGTTGTTTGCCAGCTACAAATGTACATTTTACAGCCAATCAACTCCACGTCAAGCTGTAAATCATTTATGTGTGTGTTGACCTTGGTCCGGAGTTTGAGAAGCCCTGCACTATACCAATCTGAATGCAGAGAGACAGCACATAGGGTCAAACATAAAGACCGACACATCTTTTCTTCTAGGTTCTATACATTGGAATCATGGAACACCTATTTGTGAGATGAACGGAGCATTTTTTAAATTATATTTATAAAAAGGAATAATGGTAATAAGGATAACGTTGTGCTTTTATAATCTCACTGCAGCCTATGCTGATTATTTGAAAGAACAAGCGTCAAATCCCTGAAAGTGTCTTTGGAAAAGAGGTGGAAAATGAGTTATTAGAAAAATAAGCAGCATTTCTGTGGGTGTAACTATAGCTCTCTATTTTAAAACATGTACATCAGTCCAAGACATGCCAGTGAATCGAAGGAGTGCGAGATACACGGTGAAGTGTCTTTGGAAGATGAACATGATCCATTAGGTAATAACCTCGGCTTTGTTGCAGGCACTTCAATAATATGGCTCTGTATTAAAAGTTTCTCAAGTTTTATCTGTGTATGCTTTGATACTGCCTACAATAAAACCTCAAAGGATGAGATCAAGGTTCATTTGAAGAAAAATAAATAAATTGTTTGAAAATAATGCAAAGAAATGCAGCTGAGACCAGACCAAAAACAATTATCAAGATTGCTTGCCAAGATGAAGGGCACACATGAGAGGGTTGTAAAACAGATGGTGTCCTATGTTTCCAAAGAGGCTACAATAATATTATATTTATATTGTTTAAATACAGATTTGATATATTCTTCTTATATTTAGCCCTGAAAAAAGAGTTCACACACTATAATAGTGTAATGCATTTTACCCACTGTAATGCCCAAATGATAGAGAACTAAAACAGAAAAGATATGACTGCCGCTGAGGCACCTGCTAGCGAACCTTGGGCTGGTTAGGCTTTATTTCCATGATCGGGTCCCTTCTCTGGAGGCCGAGTGTCAGTTACCCATTTAGCCTGTAGAAAAAGAAACAGACGTTATAAGATTAACACGCCATGAAGACACTTTTGTTTGTGAACGCAGATTTAGCTCTTGATACCCCGTACCTCGTTCTCCAGCTCGGTGTATTCACTCACTCTCTCCACGGCCACAATATTGGTTTCCAGCTCTGATGTCATCCTTACGAGCCAGTTAAGGGTCTGGGTCACCTGACACCGTCTCACTAAAGTGTGAGTATATAGGAGAGCGAGACACTAGGCTCGTCTCAATACCCCTCCTCGACTCCTCTCTTCCCCTCCTCCGGGACTTGACCCGGAAATCGATCAAGACACGCCATTTTGAAGGACGTCCCAATAGCTGAAATGCACACGGAGGAGTCGAGGAGGGGTGAGGGAGGAGGGGTGCGGGAGGAGACGAAAGGGAGGATACACGAGAGCAGACTACGCGGAAGTGTTTTCACTACTCGCGTATAAAAGCCCCGCCCCCACCTTCACAGCTGGTCGATTTCAAGAGAGGAAAACGGAGAACTGGAAGAATGAGTGGAAAAGCGTCACATAAATGTCTAAGTGCTCACAGCTCCATGGGAATTATTATGTGCAATTCATTTCTTAAGGTTATACTAACAATTGAAGTCATGTTTAATGATCTTGAACGTCACTAAAACATAGCTATTAAGAAAGCTATTTCATAAATGGCTAGACCTTGATAAATAACAATTATTTGTTTTGTTTTGTGTTAAAATATTGAGTAGTTAAATTATTTAAAATGCACAGTCCTGAATGTGGGTTTGTGGTGAATGTGGGGATCTACAGGACACACATTTTCAGAGTAAAGGCTTTCACATTAATAAATAAATATATATTTAACAACAAATGGGCCGGTTCTAAAGGGTTATTCAGTTAAGCCCGATGAGAGGGGATACAGCTGTGCACATGTCATCATTAACAGACGTCGTTTAAGAGTGACGTTTGAGTGAACGAGGACATCCCAATTAATACCTGAGGACTCCTCTGTCCTCGCGTCACCTCCTCGTGTCTCTCGCTCGCATCTTACGGAGGCGGAGCTAAGACGCAAGGAAGGGACGCGAGTGAGGGAAAGGAGGAGTCGAGGAGGGGTATTGAGACGAGGCTACCGAGTCCAGTCGACGTAGCTGCCTTGAAGACGCTACATAGAAACGCTAGGTGAAAAGAGGAAGGAGAAACAGACGAACAGACGTGTAGCTGGATTCTTTTTACAATTGGAAAAAGACATTTTCACTTTTATGTTCACTGTTCAGGTTCAGCTTACCTCTACAAAGTAGTAGACCAAGGCCAGAGGAATGATGATGATGGTGAAGAAAGGAGTGGCCAGACAGATGACAAACAGTGTCCCCAACACACCCAGCACACACATTAACCAGGAGCAGAAGAACTGTGGAAATATCCTTTGGAACAAGCAAAGGGAAAGGTTAGTCTTTATTAAAAGTAACATATTAAAGTGTTTAAGTGACCCAAAACAGATGAAAAGCAATCTAATCTCATCTGGTTCCTCAATTTATAATGACCTGAATGGAAGAGTGACATTTTGTGTAGCAAAACTGCTTTAGGATGACTTTATGCAGACTTATTCATGTTAGTATCTTAAATTACAATGTTTAGAAAATGTAGGTAGAAAAACCTCAGCGAATTAAACAAAATAGAAAGAACGAGAATGAAAAAAGGCAAATGATAAATCCTACCTTTGCAAAGCGGTTGACGACTTCTTCCAATGGGTGTGGTGTCATAGAATACCATGGGAACTCGCAGTATGTTGTTAAGCAGCCTCGAATGCAGGATACGTGATGCAGAGATCGAAGCTTTGGCCAGGAGCAGCGTACTGAAGAACACAAAGAAGCCTGCAACAGAAGAAGAGATCCTCAAACACATGAAAACCAACTCCAGATCCACAGTTGCCAAAATGAAGCATCACATTAGTTCAGATGTAGTTCTGAAGTGTTAACATCATCTTATCCAACGTTTAATTCTTGCCTCTGCATCTGATTGGTAATCAAAGTTTCATCACCAAAATCCAAGAGCAGCGGCAAATGGATACATGTTGTAGTAGTCCACTGCGCCTGTTTCCATAGTTTCCTTCTCAATTAGTCTCTGGCCTTTGTTTGATTTGTCGGCTACTTCTGGTTCTCTTACAGAGCTTTGTCTTCTTAGTCTGACACTAGAAACAATATGGAAAAAGACCACATTATATTCCAGGATGAAAATATAGTTGGTAGAAAGAGAAACTGTGTCCTCCAAAGGAGAGTCAGGTTGAAGATCTTCAGTTTCAGGTATGAGCTCCACGTGTACAGTCTCCTGGAAACCAACTAAATACATATGTTCACAATGGCATAAGTGCTGTCATTAGTGAGGCTTAAATAGAACATGCTGATATTTTACCAACTGTGATACTCGTGCTAAACACAGAAGAGGTTATTATGTTGATAACAGCAATTATATGCACCCACGCTACTGATCAACAATGATGCACAACACACCAGGGGGCTGGATGTTTTTACATGGACAATTCATTCGAACCAACAATAATAATAAAATAATAGTATATCAACACACACACACACACACACACACACACACACACACACACACACACACACACACACACACCACACACACACACACACACACACACACACACACACACACACACACACACACACACACACACACACACACACACACACACACACACACACACACACACACACACACACACACACACACACACACACACACACACACACACACACACACACACACACACACACACACACACACACACACACACACACACACACACACACACACACACACACACACACACACACACACACCTCAAGTGGTCAGGCCTCGGGACCCACTTTTTTTCTTTGTGAATAAATCGCAACCTGAAATTTTGAAGCACTCAAATCTATTCAACAAAAGATTGTGCAGTAATATATACGCTTTTCAGCATACATTGTTAAAGTGAAGTACAGTGCATCCCTCATATCCCTTCACAGAACTAAAGTATGCTTTTAAAAAAGGTTTAATGAGATGATGGAATCAAAGCTGAACTGTATAACATAAAAAGGCACATATGCTGAAAACCCAAGCCCAGCAGGGGGTCTGGGGGGATTCTCCCCCAGGAGATTTTTAGAAATACTAACATATAAACTACGCATTCTGGTACACTCTGAGAAGAAAATAAATAAATCTATTACTACCCGACATATTAATAATATTTTATGCTATTGTTTGTTTTTCACTTAGTTCTGACAGCTTGCTGCTCCTCACAGAGAGAAGAGCAAAGAGGAGAGAGTCTGTGTGAATTACTTTGTGGGTAAGGGTAGATAGCCCCCATTGTTCTGTGACCTGTCAGTCATCAAACCGGGGAGCATATTTCATTATGTGTTCATTTGTATCTGAAGTTGTACCCATGGATGTATAAAGAATACTTCTACCGCAAAGTTATTCTCCGTGGGGGCTTCCGGCAACCATCTTGATTCTGATTGGCCAGAAGACTCGAAAAACAACGCCGACTGCATGCACAGCGTTAGAAAATCGGGCCTTCAAAATAAAAGTTTGACTTTTTCCCCCCAATTCAATTATGTTTTCTTCCCGCACACATCTGCGACCCACCAGTTGAGAACCACTGCACAGTGCAGGGTCACACCTCCCTGATTAGAAATCAGTTATTCATAATTGAGTAAACCCTAAGTCCCTAAGTTTATGGCTGAATGGGCATCAGCATGTGTTGACTTCTCTGCACTTCCGTAAAAGAGAGCAGTTATGAGATGGGTGCTAATGGATTTACAGCAACGTCGAGTGAAATGGGCTGAACAACACTTTAAGAGCAAAAGGTACTAACACAGATTAGAAAAGTGTAGTGTGTCAAAGCTTTTTGAATGCTTTTAAATCATTCATAAGCATTTCAATCACTTGAAATACATGTTTTCTGGATGGAATGGATTCATTAGTGAAAATAAGTATACATTTATAAATTGTGAGATTACGTGAAAAGTTTATATAAATCATATTATTTCATTTGTTAAATGGATTTAACAATTACTCGTGAGGGAAATTAAATATTTACACAAGATAGCTATTGTTTTGTTTAACATTTTAATCTATAAAGCGTGAAGAAGAAAACACAAAATGGCTTGATTTGTAACTTATGCATTTGTCCAATGAATACCTCTAAAAAGGAATATCTTGCCAAATAACTGGCTGGCTGGGGTGTAGCGCTGGAGGAGTTCGGCTATAGGCCGGAGCCAGCCCATTTAGTGCTTTAAAAACAACATTAACATGTTTTCAGTTAGAGAGGACGCATAGGTTTGAATACTAATGGAGCAGGAGACGTGGTTTCAATTGATCAAAAATATACTATTTTATTAAGCACAAGTGAATAGTTAAAATGCAGTTTAAAACAGTCGCACAGGGCTGTAGCACAAAGGGGAAAATGAATTGGGGGCTGAGGCTTACCAGTGGGGGGATAGGGTCGACGAGTGAGTGGAAGGATCCCCAAACAATCTGAAAAGTGTCCTTAAAACGAGCCTCCTCGCAATAGTATGCACATTATTTATTCAGCCGTTTGCTGTTTAATCTGATGGGAAATATATCATTCCAAAGAGAGAAAGTAAATAGTATCTTTCGTTTTTCCGCTTAGAAAACTAGGCGAACGCTCAATACAGGCGATGACGTAACCTTTGCGCGTCCCCGCGAACAGGGCTTCAATCTACGGCAAGGCTTCAATCTACGGCATAACACTTTTTTTTTTTTTTTTTTTTTTTTTTTTTTTTTTTTTTTTTTTTTTTTTTTTTTTTTTTTTTTTTTTGAACATTTTTTTAAACATACAAAAGCTCGGTGAGGATATCATCAACTTATCAACATAAGTTCAAGACATTCATTCACAATAAGACAAAAAAACATAACTAATACATCCAGTAAGAGCCAGGGGGGAAAGAAAAAAGCATAAAGGCCACAAAAACATTTAAGAGGCATTAAGCTTACTTAAAATAATAACCATTTGGAAATGTCATTGCAAATCTTTATAGACAGGTTACAAGATTGTATTTTTCTAAGGGACAGAAAAAAGGACTTGAACTCATTTATGAAACAGGGAAAGGGAGGGCTTGCCTCCTCTCCATTTACTACAATGTAAATGG